TGATAAATTCCAACTGCTGTATAAGAAACTTGCCAAAACGTGAAGATACATTTCATAGCAATAGGCTCAAGTAGCTCAATAGATAAATCTACTTAGATTCAGCTCATCAAAGAAAGAGCAGGAAATGGGTTTTAATCCCTGTGATGATCAGCTACACAAAGGAACATCCACAAAATGAAGCCAACACGTTTTATATAAGTATGTGCACAATTTTGACAGAAAAATTATCAGAACCATTAATGTAATGTTAGAATGTTACAGGGCTTACTCTGATTTAGGCATGAGTTCATTTAAGGATATTTGATGGTTTTTAATGCAGAGGCACAGTGGTGCTTTCTGCATTCTGATATTTTAACTGTTCAAAAATGCACAGAATAAGTTCTCTACGCTGACTAGATTTATCCTTACTATTGCAGGCAGTTATGTCATGTAATCATATTTAATGCCTTAAAAAAAAAAACAAAACAAAAAAAAAAAAAAAAAACCCCCCCCGTTCTGTGAATGTGAAACATGAAAAACTAAGGAATTGGACACACTGGCATATTGTGTCCACATGTTGTATGACAGGTACCCATTGTATGCCAACCTGAAAAGTATTCATAAAATGAGTCCTCCATGCCTTAACTCTGGCTTCCATAGCAAGAGAGTCTGGAGTTCACTTTGCAAAACCCTTTGATTCAAATGTTAAGCATCATGTAGCAGTAAAAAACACCCAGTTATGGAACAAAATGGAGGACAAATTGCAGGTGGTGTAGGTGGTGTAACTCATCTGAAAGTCTTAGATGCAATGAGGGATTGTACAGATGAGAAGAACTACTATGAGGGGACCAAGAGGGGAACTAATTGTGACCTTCTACTATGTAATAGAGAGTTGAATTGAAAACAGACTCTTCTCAGATGTGTCAGTGAAAGGATAAGAAACAGCAATCAAGGTAGAAAGGGAAATTCTAGTTGAACATGGAAGAACCTGTGAGTTCTGAAACCTGACACCTGAGTTATGGAACATATGGACTTGGAGTTGTTCAGAATTTGTCTGGACAAGGCCCCAAGGAACATGAGCCATCTTTGAAGTTAGGCCCACTTTGGGTGGGGGCCTGTACTAATGACTGGTTTCTTCCAACACAGATTATTTTATCTGTTTCTATGGCAAAATATGCTTAGCTTCTCTGTCTCACTGGCTGCTTTGATTTCTGGTGTACCTCTTCTTTTTTTCTTTTTGTTTCTTTTTTCTTATCCACCCTATATATATATACAGCTACATGATACATACACTAAAAGTATAATAGGCCTCTAAATGCCTAGTTCTGCTTATGGGAAAGTCCCTGTAACAAACACTGTGAAAAAGAAACATTGGGTGGTCCTCTTAATATGGAATCAGGACATCACAACAACTATATCCCAAATCCTATAAGGCCTTGGAAGCCTTGATTTTGTCTTTGATCACTGTGATTTGAAAATACTCTTCACTGCAGTAGGCACTCTTGGTTCCTTATGGGATGGATGGAGCTGTAAAACTGTGGTGTGCTTATGACGTGAAGTAGAAAAAAAGCAGAAGCCCCTTCCCTGAAGCTGAATGTGATTGAAGTTTGGTCACCATCTCAGAGCTGTGTCATTAACAATATTGGCAGGGACTTAATCTTGCAACATGGGAGTGAATGGGCACTTGCAGCAACAAAACATGGTGACAACTATGGAGGCATACATTTCACTATCAATAACTGAAAGACTGTGAAGAAAAGGAAGTACACAGCACTGTTGGAAATACCTCTTCAAACCTGGTAAATGATCTGGTCAAATTTTCTTTTCTCTTATTCCTTTTCTAATGCTTTCTGTCATTAAAAAATGGTACATTCATAGTGGAGGCAGACCACTATGTAAATTGTACGCTAGACCGCTATTGTGCTTTGTCCTTTTTTTGTTTTTTAAACAATCTGCTTTCTGTTCCCCCTCCCTTCTCCTTGCTGGAGATTCATACAGTTGGCAAGAGAAGTGGATGTCTTGAAGTGCTCACAAGGTATGACTTAAACAAGTAAAAAAATTTCCTCTTTCAGTTGTAGTCACGTCAATAGTTACTGGCAGAAGAGACGTTATAAACAAGCATTGTTCTACAGTTGAGGGCATCTTTATACAAATGGAGTGGGCACAGAAAAAAAAATCTGGTAGAATTCCTTACCTTGAAGTCTCAGAATCACAGAAATGTTGGTGGAAAGGAACTTTTGCACATTTTCTCATCTAATCTACCACTCAGAAAGCAGAAGATCTAGTTATAAATAATCCCTTGAAGTATTTGAAGGATAAGATCCTGGTCATTTTCTTAGGACGTATGTTTATCCCCATCCCAAGCAAATGAAGGAGAAGTGCTTTGAAAGAACTGTGATGAACTGTGCTGCACACAGTATATTTTGATGTGGAATTATGATTTAATTTCATTCTACATAGATACCATGTACTAGGATCCCTAGAGCATAATTTTAGACAATAAAAAATGAAGGTACTTTACAGTTTTCTAATGCAGGAAAAAGCAATGTAAATAGCTTCTAGAAAGTGAAAAGCTAACAATCTTACACTGGCAAAACAAAATAAAAAAGCTTACGAATGAACAGTGTTTTTAACTGTTCAAGTCTTCTAGTCTGTCTCATTTTCAGGTCATTACAAAGGCTTCTAGGCAAAAAGATGCTCAATCTCATCCAATGCATGATGAGATCCTGATTTAATGACTAATGCCATGGAAACTGGAAGATGCATGGATAAGGCCAGGGACGCAGTTGTGATTAATAGCATGTGATTAGATGGTCAACATTCATATGGTAAAAAAAAAACTTTAGGCATACATATCAAGGATTATAAACAATAGTTTAAGCAGAAGATACTGGAAGAAAAACAATGAGTTTAAGGGAATAGGGACACTACAGACATTTCAGTAGTATCAGAAGCTACATATATATTTTAAAGACATACCTTCTTCCAGCAAAGTGGAACCACTGCACTCTTAAAACTAGTATTTGCAATTTAAGTTGACTTATCTAAAACATCAACAAAGTAAACACCAATTCTCTATTTTTTTTTTTAAATTATTTTGTATTAAGAATATTGTGGAAAGGAGAACTGAAATACAGCATGGCCAGGAAACATGAATTACTCACCATTTTAGAGACTTTGCATTCATCACATCTAAATACCAAATATCTGATTTCAGAGGATCTCATGCAATGCAAAATCCAGCTATAAAAATGCACCACAAAATATTTTCAAGGATAAAAAGCTAATGTTCTTTAAAGCTCTGGCAGATATCCATTTGTGAAGATAAATTTTAAAATTAATGATGCATATTTTCCAAATGGTATTCTAAAAAATAGCTGTTCATCTTTCTATTAACTTACTTATACTTTGCATAGCTATTATTTTAGACAGTGAATGATAGACAGACCATGCCAGTGCCTAAAGTACTGCCAGAAATAACATCATTATTTTTCCGCAACTATGTAATGACAAGTAAGTAATCACAAAACTAATTCCTATTATGAAGCAACAAAGTTTTTCTCGTGTACAATATACACATATATACACATATATATATATAGTATATTTATATTAAATATACGGTCAATTATGCTGCCATGGCAAAGTGTTGTCATGGTCTTCTATATTAAGGAAACTGTCCTAATCGTCTGTAACATGCAAAGCTTGGAAGAACCATAAATTCACAGGAAGTAGTACAATTTCTATTCTTCTGCCATCCCAAAGCTCACCAGAATTCTCAAGACTGTTGCTTATTTTGCCTATATATTTGATAAAAGCTATGGTTCTGTATACTGTACATTCACAGAGGGAACCCAGCCCTCCGTACAACCTGCAAGAGGGACCCAGTTACCACTTCCCATCAGAGTAAACATTCTGGTATCTAATATGATAGTCTTGCAAACAGTTATTCCTAGCTTGAAGTTCAGCAGTTCAAGACTTGACACCATTTTCCTTCCGTCTTTCTGAAAGGTTTCTTGCTAGCGCATTTTGTAGTCATTAGATACCGATGTTTCGCATAGCTGTCCTTTAAAATCCAAGTCTACTGTGAAATCCAGGTCACGCTGTAATAAGATTTAAATATAACATGTAAGTGAGATTGTAAGTAGATCAGTTTATGAATTCAGTTATGATTTCTCAGGGTGAATAAACTTGCAGACATAACTAGTCTGCAAGTTTTTAAATTTTCTTTGTTTTTAAATGGTGCTAACAGTGAAGAAGTAGGATGTAGGAAGTGTAATAGCATTCCTCATACAATCTATGTCTGTTCATATTCTTCTCAAGCTTGCTTTAGTGTCCTGGCTACAACTAGGAAGCTCTTGCAAGGCTATGCTAATGTAAGTATCCTCAAATAATTCTTTAAGGATTATTTGCCACATTGAGACACTCGATCTTGGGCATTCATGATTAAAACTGTGCAGAAACAGATGTTCTGGTAAATTTCCAACTGCGGAAAAGCAGTTTAGTGCTAAACAAACCAGTCTGAAGCACATTCTTTCTTTTCTCCAAAAAGAAAGTGACTGAAAGAAAACGACTCAGTCCCCAAGGACAGCATTAAGTTTTATTCCTAGTATCTAATAGGAGATTTTTGGTGCAGAATAGTGAAATGCATGCAAGAAAAAGGAAGGTAATGCAATGATTTTTGCTGTAGAAAAGGAATTTAAGATTCCTATGGTTTTAACAGCTGCATGAATTGATTGTTACTAAATTATTTTGATGGTTGGATATTGTAATCAAAAATGAAGAGTTTTGCTCAGGTCGTTTTGGCAGAAATTTATGACACTGTTTCTCCTAGGAATCCTGCTTCTCATGTCTTGCTCTCCTCTACTAAAGGAGACCAAAAGACCTTATCTCATAGTCTCCTCAGAAGATAAAAGAAGGGCTGAATCAATGACACATTTGGTGAGGGGTAGGAATTAAACTGTAGCAGAGAAATTGAAGAAATAGAAGTACAACTCTCACCAGTCTTTATAGCATGGTAGGTGTCATGTTTTAGGAGTAGTCTTAAATAAAACATTAATATTTTCTGTGGAAATTCAAATCTTAAAAACAATTTTTTTATGTAATTGCAAATTGAATTTTTTTCACAGAAGAAATTCAACCAGTTCTACAAGAGATGTTTCCTGGGAGCTGTTTCGCTGCTTTTCTTACATCTTCAGTTAGGTCCTGCAAGTGGCATTCCGATAGTCACAGGGGACCGATTTGAAATGGCATGCCTAAAAAAAACCTCATGGACTAGCAAACACCTTTATGAAAAAAAAATAAAAATCCCCTTTTGAAAATTTAGAAATTTTGGGGCGATTTAGCACTGATATTAAAGCCAGCCTCTCCTGCCTGTGACACAAAATGTGATCCAGACTGACTGCAGAGGAGACAGCTGATTTGGTGATGTAGCTAGGACCTTTCTTCCTTTCCCTGCTAATTCGTTTGATGTGTTCTGGATCACTAGCACTGCATTACCATTGCTGTCATTAGTGCTGGTTAAAGCTGCAACTAGAGCTCTTATTCATTAACATGAATATAGAGCCTTTCTTTCATGCTTGTGTTATTTATACCCATTTTATTTATTGCTGATTATGCTTTGTCATCAGTAGAATTGGGGATTAGAAGCAGTGGTGCTCACTCACCACATTTTTTGCATTTGGTTTCATGGATATAGTCCCATAGATTTCTTCCCCTCGTCTCACAGTTAGGTAGTCCTCTAAGTAGAAGACGGTTTGCTTCCAGTGTGTATAAGGAGCATCAGGTGCTAGAAAATATATAGATGCATTATTTATAGGTATTTGGTCGTTGTCTTAAAAATCAAGGTAGTTTGGTGAAACAAGTGAAAAGAGAGCTCCTCTTCTCTTTGGTTGCTTTATCTCCTGCACTATAATAACAAACATGCTTCACAACAGCACAATTGTACTGACAAAAATAAACTGGTTTACTCACTCTGGTAAGCAGTCACTCACAGGATTGGGGTAATGGGGCTCACCAGGCTAAGTAAGCGTTTAGATTCTTTAAACTCTTAGGGCTTATTTACATGAGTAGTATGTATAAGGTTATATCATGGGGGAAAATGAAGAGTTTTCTGTAGACTCTGAGAAAAGCAAGTTTCACATTTAGGGGAATGTGCAATCTGCTGTGTTTTACAGGGACAATATATCCCTGTATAGTTCTAGAACCAGTCATTCTGTATCTACCTCGTGATGGGCATGAACTCTTGGGACATAATGTCCATGGAGTTCTAAGCCTGATAGTCACTGTGAAATTCTGCTATGCTTTTGGTGTGTTCCTGCAAGCAGTTGTCTTTTGTGCATCCTGCACCCACTCCCAATAACAGTTGGGAAAACAGCTTTTATCATTGAAAAATATTGGTGGTACAGCAATTTCTCATATACCATCTTATCAATAGCAACAATATGCTGACGTGAATAGAAATGAAGTACAGATTACCTGTAGAAAATCCCATTTTCTTGTGGCACTTTGTAAATTCAATATTAAAATAGGTGACCAAGGCATGAATATAATCATTACGCTGAATTTGGAGGCAGAATGCAGAAGTGAATGCCAGTTCTTCAGTCTTCACTGTATAAATATCTACTTCCTATTTTGAGAAGAAATGAAGAAATCATTTACATGCAGAGGTCTGTGCTTGTTGTAGGATAGGGCATTTTGACTGTTTTAAGTGTTAAATTAGGTATTTAAACAATATATTTTATAATAATAAATAATATCTAATAATATATTCAATAATGATAACAAAAAAACAACGGGCAACCCCTTAAACTCCAAGAAATCAGTGGTATATTAGACTCTATTATTTCATAAGTAAATGGCCTAGAAGGGGAAATTATAAAACTAGAGAAAACACCCAGCAATAGAAAGGCGAGACAGTGAAGAGAGTGTGTTCATTGGGATAGCAGGGGCAGGTTGTGAGAATCAGCAGAAATCTAAGTAAAATTCTGCTTTGACAAATAGATGTAGAATAGCTGTGTGAGGGGTCCATGTCTAAGATCCCTCTCCTCCAGGGACTGTCAGCCTTACTCAGAATGAAGAAAGATGGCAGAATTTTTCTAATAAAAATAAACTTCTGATGTGGACATCTCTTACTTCCTCTGGAAGGGAACATTCGTTGTATCATGATAATCAAGGAAAGCATCAAGGCATGGTAGGCGCTGCTTTTTATATCTTGTATTTCTGAGGATTTGAAAAATTATGATAAGGCAACTTATGTTTTTACTAAATGAGCTATTGTTTTTGGCCTATTTCATTACAATACCGTACAAGAAAAAATTACCCATAATGAAAATGATTCTTCTGCATTGCAAAGGTCATGGCAAACTGTGTCATTAATGCTTTTAAGTGACTAATACATACAATTTAAAGCTGGGGTAGCCTTATAATGTATTTTTTTCCTAAAAAAAAAAAAAAAAAAGAAAGAAAGAAAAAAAAAAAAAGAATGGGAATGATCATTTATGAAACCTACTCAGGTTGCAGAGGTTAAAATTCCATAGCACCCTGCAAAGTTATCTTTAACATGATGGAGCGGAGTGATAGCTGTTGCTCTGGACTTCCATGATATTTGAGTCTCTCTCTCTCTCTGAGCTATTTTTGCTCTGCAGGATAAATCATAATCAAAAACATTAGGAAATACTTTTTATTAGTGAATGCAGAGAGATTGCCTCAGAATAATAAACAGATATGCTGGGTAAAAGGTATCATTTTTACGGTCATTTTTTTTTGTAAGGACAGAGTTTTTTTTTTTTTTTTTGGCTATGCAGGATTGGATATGAATATGAAACTGGCCTGTTCTCTGTTCCTGGTGCTTCTTTGAAACTTTCAGCCTCTGTAGGAGCAGTATTGTCAGCTTCAGGAATAAGCCTGATCTGAAGCAGGACTAACTGCTAGGGAAAGAAGAGGGAAGGGTCTTTACTGAGAACAATTGGGAAAATAATATATTGTCATGTGCACGTATACACATGGAGATGAGGGGACTGCAGTGAATGCAGTAGTCAGTCCTCAAAACACACTCACATATCCAAAATATTTAAATATTTAATCTTTTTTTTTTTTTTTTTTTTTTTTTTTGTTTTGTAGTGGGGAAACTGGTTGTGTTAATATAGGGAGAGGAGGAATTAACTTTTGGCTGTTTGGGTGGGGGCAGTGGAGGCGGAGAATGCAGTATCTAATGCTGTTTTGACTGGATGGTGGAGCATATGCTGTTTTTTTTAGCAAATGTATTAACTGGGAAGCTAGCATAGCCATGGGCTCTAAACAACAGAGATCTCAACCTCCTCACTAGGGTCCATCCTCATACAAACCCTCCTGTTTGCACAGGAAGAAATGCTTGAGAGTTACTAATGTTTGCAGAGGGAAGGACGTGGGGGAAAAAGCTGTTCTTCCTCTCCCTTTGATGTCTGCAAGCATGACATGAGAAGATAATAGAGGGTCTGTGAAGTAGGGAAAGAAACTGGCAATAAGCAACTTGTTCAAGACAGAGCTGGAGATGAGTAAAATTTGAAGATACTGAAATGAAAGAATTTGGGGAGGAGAGCTAGAGACAAAAATGTGACAAAGTCATCTAGGGGAGGGAAAGAAGCCTTTCAGGTGAAGAAAAGAGCGTAGGAGAAAAGTGAGAAACAAAAAGAATGGTGTTTAAAGACTAGGAACAAGTCAAAATGACCCAGAATAAAAGAAATGGACAACGAATCAGGTAGGTGCATATTGCTTTTCTTCAGAAGAAGCTGGGATACAGAAGTATGTTTAGAAAGCTTTCTGAAGCCTTCTGAAGCAAGAGGATAGACCCAAGAGTGTGAAGAGGAATGACTCATCCTTAACCTCTTGGGTCAAATTACTGTGGGAGAAGAACATATGATTCAAGGGAGCTCAGGGACAAGTGTCTCATCTGTGCAACTGAATGTCTTTCTAAGAAAAAGTAATTTTTCTACAGAAAATACTGGTGATCCTTTGAAATTGGGCTGAATATAGGTGAAGTGTGGTATTTCCAGAAGGGTGGAAGTGTCTCACAATAATGGGCATGTGAGCACATGGGAACATGTTCTGTAGATACTGCATTATATTTTCTTTTGTGAAAGACTGAGCAGGGAAGGCACTTAGTATTTTAAATGCCATTAAACATCTTAAAGTGTTGTTGTAAGTGAAGGTACTTTAAACATTTCCTGGGAGGCATGGGATGAATGGGAACATGAAGGTAGCTTTTCACTTTATATTTCTCTGTAGTTATATAGGAGAGGAGCATTTTACCATAGTATTTTCCATGATAAACAGAATATGGCATGTTCTTATATATTTGTTTTCTGAGCTTTTTGCCACATGTTCTCATTGCAGGCTTTTCTACGGTTGTGTAATTGTTTTGTTGTTTTGGCTGCTGCTTTTGATGCTGACACCAAAACTAACAAGGAAAAATATGGGTCAACCCCAAATCAAATATATTTCTGCAATGTACAAGCAAATCAGAAAAGAGAACCCAATTATTTCATTCAGTCTGAAAACTACTATTCCATTTTCAGGCTGTGCTGCTCAGAGCATTAGGCACTCAGGAAGAGACTTGCACACTTTTCCTGAGATGAGGAGAGGGTGCTGGTGCTCCCTCCTACACCTTGATGACTTTGGTTGTCACCTATGATTGCAGATGCTTTAGTTCAACTGCCCTCCCTGCCTGATTTGGACATGGGTTCACTGAAAGGCCTGTGACATGCCAGAAAAGAATTTCGTTGCCACCAGGATAGAAAATTATTTTCCTTTTCTAACTAACCTGGCTAATATTTCAGATAGCATTCATAGGGAAATTGCTTCTATATCAGAGATATATATTTCTTGTGATGCTCCCATCCCACTCCATGTACCTGCAGGTTAGTGGTTATTTACTAGCAAGTTCCCTGACAGGTTCAAGACTTGGTTTACATCCTGGAAGAAGATAGGGGCTGTGTTACTTGAACATTCAACTAGATGAGTGCCATCAAACCATAGCATGCAAGTGGATGATACCATCTTTTACTGGTTTCATGTCTCAATTGGCAGCTCAAATAACTGCAGAAGCACAAAGCACTGATTCACTCATTAGCAAGTTCCATCTACTGACTGATGTGCAGGGGATCTGGACACTTCTGTAGGCACCCTAAGTTAGATGACCAAAACAAGCTTGTTGAGCATACCTCCACAGACTAATGAATCTAATCTTATGAATAAGCCATGCCATCTTAAATGACATAATAAAACAGTTGGATAAATAAACATTATTTATCCGGCTCATTTTTTTTTTACTCAAATTTCCTAGGCTGAAATTATTTTTTGAATTCACAGATATTTTCAGGCCCACAGAAATGCACATTATATAAATAAATTGTGTGCAAAAGTAAATTAAATTTTAAAAAGAAATGCAGCCTCAGTTTTTCTGATTCCATATTGCTACCATGAATAAAAACCTTCCCATTACATCAGCTATTTTTCTCTTTTTTGGTGATCAGTTTGTGAGATACGGAACATATCCTAGAACCTCTGAGAGTGGCGTCTGTTTGTGTAATTGCCCCTTTTGCTCCCAAAGAAGTATTACATGATAAGGCACCATTCCGTGTATGGACAAAAAATGCCAGGTCTTCTAGAGCTAAATATAAAAACTGAATAGGAAACGTCTGAACAATTTGGCCTGTCTCTTTACACATAGTTACTTTCAAAGGTCTTTTTGGAGATGGATTTGGATTTACACTTTAGCTAGGGGCAGGGAGCTTTCACAGATTTTTATTACCAGGGAAGCCAACCCATTCTGCCACACGATCTCTCACTCTCTAGGCATATTATATGCAGTCCATTTAAAATTCTTTATATAAGAGTGGTAAATTGATTTTAAACTGTCAAGTAGTCATTCCGGTTATGTAACTCTTATTTTCTGTGTATTGTGATTTTAAATTGCTTTGCCTTAGGCTTTTTTTAGCTACAACCATCTTGTGTCTCTCTAAGGATTTTCTATGCATGCCTATTCACGCAGAGTTTCTGCTTCTGTTACTTTTTCCTGCTGCTTTTAACAGAGGTTTTGTAGATTGAAGGCTTTTCTTGTTATATATAGGAATACTTGATGCTGTGTTACTTTCAAAAGGTGAAATGGGAAAAAAAATATGGAACTAAGTGCTTGGGATGTATGAGTGACATCTTGGCTTCACAGAACTGATCCCACAACTGTTAATGAAGCAGATAGATAGCTTTACTCATTCCCTGTGAGGAGGATTCCTCCCACATGAGAGGAATCTCAGAGCTTTCATATGTTCTTGCAGGCCATGGGTTCTTACTCTGATCTTGTGAACAGTGAGCTGTGATCTTTCTGTCCTATGTGTAGACCAAGGTCCAACAAAGCTCTAGCTGCAGATGAAATATTCTGGGGCTGGGAGAGCGCAATAACATTCTGGATATAGCTATGAATCAAGCGCCTCTACAAATAAGTAAGGGTCTAATTCTGATTTTATGCCTGGAGTAAATCAGAATTATTCCATCCTAGCTGACAAATTCAGAAAGTGATGCTCCAGCCTTTTTACTGCAAACAGAATTAATTTACCTCTTCTCCACATCTTTCCATTTGTAATTTTCAAACTCTATTTACAAGAAGTTAGTACAGGTAAAATGCATATTTAGATACAATCTTGTCCAGTGTACTCTCATTTATAACTTGTGAGATTCTAAGGTTACAGTTCCACTATGATAGTAGCCAAATGAATACTGAGTCACAGGGCACATCTTGTATTTGGGTATTCCATAAGTGATCAAGGCATTAGTGTTCATGTTTGGCTCAGAAGATGGTATTTGTCCCATGAAACACATTAGTACTGGCTAATTAAAAAACACATGTATAGTTTTTGTAGCGTGATAGCATTCTATGATGATGTGTTCTGCAGCTAGTTAGAAGCACACAAAGAGAGTACTAAAGCAAAAGCAGTACATCTCCAAAGAATGCTACAGTTAGGTGTAAACATTTATAATTAGGTATATTTGGAATTATCAAACCTTTATTAAACAGGCATTGGTCACCACTTGCTTTGGATCTACTATGTCCACCAAAGGCTCCTTCATGGCAACATCTCTAATACAGGTCATGTCAAAGCCGTACACATTCTCCCACCCTGTCAATGCAAATGGATGTGTCAAAGATTAATAGTAATTATAAGTTTTTTTTATTTGTTTTGTTTTTCATTTTTCAAAGCATCTTTCACTTACAAAATATTTATACCTTCAGCTAACTTTCAGCTCCTCTTTAGCCCTTTGATCTCTGTCCGAGGGGCTGATTTATCATTGCCATTTCACAGGAGGAAGCAATTGTGGCAAAATGACCTATCTACACCTTTTCACAACTGGCCTTTGCTTTTTGGTCTCAGATTTTGGGTGATCCCTAAAGCTCTCTTCTGTGAAATTTCTGGATGGTTTTCAGGGTGTCAAGACATGTGAGAATATTGCCGAAAATCATACCATATTTCACAGTGAGACATGGAAATAACCATGAGGAATTTTCTGCTCTTTCACTCTTTCATATCAATTCTGGTTTTTCTTTTTTTTTTCTTTTTTTTTTTTGAGGCATTTGTTGTTTGCATTTTCTGTTATTTATTTAATTAGTCTTAATTTCATCAAGATAACTAGTGGGTGGAGTAGAATTGCAGATGACTGTAAGTATTTGAGGAATCAAACCTTTAATCTGCCTTTAATCTGTCATGTACATCATGACAAAATATAAAATATCCTCCTCCTAAATAATTTTAGAGCTGTGCTGATCTTCTATATTTGAACCATTCTTATACAACAAAGTGCCTCATATTCTTAAATATTCTTATATTCTCAAATAAATGGGTCTGTAGGGAAGAGAACTCTAGCTGTGCTGCTGAACTGCTGTCAGGTTCTCAGCCTTTCAGGGGAGCTGGTGTTAGTTCCTTAGTTCCTGGCATTATGAGTATATGGGAACTCCATATTGTATTCCTCAGAAAAGATCAGAAAGGGAAAAAAAATTAACAGAGTTATCTCATTTATTTGATGGAATACCTTTGAATATAAAGCATGGTCCCTATTAGTTAGATTGATGCAGGAACTATGCGATAAAATTATACATTTTATATTTTGGGGGAAATCAGACTAACTGACAATAGTAGTCCTCTGAGGCAGTAAAAAAAGTTGGAAAAAATCAGAAATCATTTTTTTTAAAGTCTCATATTTTATTAATTCTTAACCAATCTGTTGGTTCTTGAGTGACCTATGAAAAGCTCAGCCCTGCATTTCATGTGAAGACTCTGTCCTAAAGAAAAAGAAAAAACTGACATGTAAAGAGACACAAGAAGTTACAAACTGAAAAGAAAGACAAATTATGGAGCGAGAAAGAAACAACTAAAGAAGATAAAGTAAATGCTTGAGGTATAAAAAGTAAGCGATGAATGAGAGCTGAAATCAGACAAGAAAGTGTCTTAAGGGAAAACAACATTTTAGAAGACAAAAAATCTGAAACATATTTTAAAAGGATGAAAAGTGAATTGGTGAGAAATGATTGCTTAGCTGTGTCCAAGGTAGGGATAGGAAGAGCCAATAAAAGGCCCAACGTATAGATAGGAAGGGGGACAAAAGAAAAGAGAATGAAAATGAGAACTTTTTAGGTCAAAAGGGCCTTGATTCTTTAACAGAAAGAGTGCCTCATATATCCTTTTGAATTTGTGATTTTTTTTTCAAGGAATTTAGTTATTGAGGTCCCATCAAAACAAAAAAAAAAATGTGCTTGGGGAAGAATTGACATAATTGTCTCTGACACTTAAAATTTTTGTCATTGCCCTAGTACACAGGGTTTGCTTTTGACTCAAAGTAACTCTGGCATACGTATGGGCGTTGTGTAGCCCATGTTTATAAGAAGGAAAAGATACAGGAACATGGTCACTGAATTTGTTTAGAGAAGACTAAACTTTCCTTCCTGAGAGGAAATGAGCAGAAAAGGATGTTACATATTTTTATCTACGTTTTAGTTGAAAACACTAATCTTATACAAGCTTTGCATGTATCTTTAATATAGCTGCTTTGGGATTTTTTGAGAATCCTTTTTGTCCCCTAACAATAACAACAAAGCAAATTTTTTTTTTAAAAAAATGAAGTAATATACAGTTTGTTCATTTTATCAAGAATATTATGATCAAGGAAATTCAGAACTTGAGTGATCTGAGGGACAAGTTGAGCATAAACTAGCAGTATTACCATATGGTGATGAGGGTGAACCACATACTGACATATGAGGAGTGTCGGAGAAATCTGGATTTGCTTAGCCTGGGGCAGCAAAGAATTAAGGTGTGAGGGGGTCTGCTATCTGCCACTGCCTTAGCAGAAGGAAAAACATCCTTTCAGATGTGATGAAGGACAATGGATGCAAATTTCAGCAAGGAACAATCTGACTGGACATTTAGAAAATTTTTTCCTCCTAAGGGTTGTTCAGCTTTTGAACAAGTGCCCAGACAGGCTTCAGTATCTCCATCTTTTTATTCTATAGAATAGGGCACTGAGTGACCTAATTTAGCTTTGAAATCTGCCCTACTTGGAGCAGAAGTCTGGACTATATGACCTCCAAAGGTCACTTCCAACACAAATTTCTGAAACTTAAAAAAAAAAAATCTATTTACGTGTAAAGGAAAAGTCAATTTTTGTATGTCTTTGAATTAAAAAAATGTAATTTATTTCCATCAAAGTAAAATGAAAAACTCTGGTTCTTATTTTTATTTTAAAAGTCTCACTTAAATTTAAGCTTAGAAGAGCATAGCATTTCTTTATTCATCTTGATAAATTTATCAGTGAGATATAAGTTCTTATAGTCTTATTTCTTAACCTTTACAATTCATTTGCATCTCATTAATTTTCAGTTGTTCTTATTAATTTAAAAAGAAAGATAGCACCCAGATGCCAAGAGAATATTACAGATTTTAATGGCAATTGTGTGGGATTATGTATTTTTCAAAGCAAAACCAAAACTAAATCACCTTATATCTGCATTTTTATATAGGGGTAACTTTAAAGAAACTCTAGATTATTTTATTCGTGTATCTTTAGCTTAAACTACTGTAAGTTTCATGAAAAATCTCCAGATTAGGGTTTTCTTTGTGTTCACATGTGCATTGTAATTCTTGGCCTGACCTACATGATTTCTCATTTCTTTGCAAAGCTTTGCCAAACAAGAACCTACAGCAGGACACAACATATCATCCCGGGGAGATGACAGCAGAAGAGGGTTGTTGTTAGGCATGTACTCACAGTGAATTTTGAAGTCCTTGTACTGTCTGTCTTCTATTGCTACCACGTACAAAGCAGCTCGGTCAGGAAACATTAGCCCTCCAGGTTTCTGTTGATGAATTGTGGGGAAATGGATCTCGTAATCTATTCACCTGACAAAGATACCACATTTTGAACTGCACGTACAAAAAACAGACAAGCACCCCTTGCATGCCTTTGTTGTTTTCCTTTTGTCATATCAGCTTTAATTGCTCAGCAATTCTTGCAGCCTGTGGCAATGTGATAGACAAGTAGTGTCTATATGATTTGTACCAAAAAAAAATTCAAGAGCATAGATTTTTAAAATGTGACAGTTCTCCCAGATTACTGAGATTCCTTTTGTTAGTCTTTCTTTTCAAGCCTAAGAGATGGCACTTGAACATATGTCTTTTTTATGGTGACGGTAGGAGAGGGAAGGCTTGTAGTTAAAAAATAATGATTGCTCCAGCAAGAAGTATGACATGCAGAGCACCTACCAGCCACTTGTCTCGTGCGAAGATGACTGTGTTTAACATTGACTCATAGAAAAGACAGTAACCCATCCACTCGCTGATGATGATGTCTACTTTATCCACAGGTAATTCAACTTCTTCCACTTTACCTTTAAATATTGTGATTACTGAAAGAAGAATCCAAAGAAATATGTTTCACATGATAAAACACCTGACTAGGAGTTCTTTACTGGTGAATGTCAGGCTGACCTGTCTTTTCAATATGATTCTCTTCTTGATTCCCTGTAGATGAGGGGTGACCCCACATGAGTCAATGAATTTTAGACTACTATTGTATCAATATAAATGAAAACAAGCAAAGTAAAACTCATATACCAAAACCAACAGACCTTACCTGGATACCTGCAGGATCTCATTTTACCTGCACCTTACAATTTGAAAATTTGTAGATCATTAACCAAGAGATGCAAGACCGCTTGTTAGCATTATACATTTGTGAGCTCATCATAAATATAGCAGAGCTATCAAACTAAGATCTAATTGTCATCTGCTTTCTAAATACATCATGCTGATTTCACAAAGAGGATACTGAGATTAATTTTTCTATGAATCCTGACTCAACTGGGAAAGGCAGCTGTAGCCTGGCAGTGTATGAACACAAGAGTTTGTACAAACATGGTTCTCTTATGAAAAATCATTTGTCATTCCTTTCTGTTTCTTGATTAAATCCTTCATAAAATTCTCAATCTGAATTTTCTATCCAGTTCAGTTTTGGATGGCTTTCCACAGTTATTTAAAGTGACTGCCGGAAAACATTCCTCTCAGATAATTTGTCAGCTCATTAGTTTCATATAGCTTAAAAAGGTTGCTAGAATTTTGGTGCAGCAGTATACCAGACCCTCAGAAATGGTATACAATATGGCTCATTAATTGCTATGCTATACATATGGTAATGCTATAGACTACTTACAGAGAAGGATGGGAGAGCAAAAGCAGGTCAATAGCAATGAACAGAGTGGAGAATTTTCTTAAAGAAAAATGAAAGGCTGGTTCAAATGTAGTTCATTTGTAAAAATTATTTCTTTCAGGATCACTAAGTAATTTACCCATCATTTTTTAAAAATATATTTACTATTTAAAAATGCATTATAGATTCATTAGAAAAGTAATTTTCAGCTTGGGATTGTCTACTATTTTTATTGTTTGTTTCAGTAGGTAGTCAGTCACATGGTTCTGGACTCTTCCATGACAAGGATTTCCAAGAATAAAACTGGGGTTAGAGAAAAATTTACTTTCCAATATTCACGCAGAGGATGACTATATTATGATTGATAAGTAGCAATTAATAGTTTATTCATGAAAATATCTGACATTCAATTTGAGGAAGACAAAGTTGCTTCCATTTAGCTAGACCTATGTTAGCTGAACAACAGATAGTGAGGGTTGAATGATTTTTAGAGATTAATCCATGATAATGAGATTTTGTGTTTCTGGAATAAGTATAGCATTAATACCAGAAGTTGGGAATATTCTCACTCAGTCTGGTAGCATGAGGTATTAAGCCAGTGAGAGCAAACTGACTGAAAAAGAGCACAGAATTCCCTCCTCCTTTCCCTTTTTAAACTTGTCCTACTACATTTAGTAGTTCAGTAGTTCATCTGCTCTCATATTGAAAACTTGCAGTTAAAAACTCCAGTCATAAGCTCTATTTAATGCGCCTAAGATCATTCACTGCCTCTATTCTTTTAGAGAATTTAGCCTTGTTTAGCTGCCAGTGTGACACACCTGAAGGCTTGAAATCCTCAGTTTATACTTAGAACAGGCACAGCATGAGCAGCAGCAGTACAAGTTCCTCCAATAGCCCTTCACTTTGATGAAACACCTTTGTGAGGTATCATGTGAGAGCAGACTGCACTATATACCTAACTATATACATAGCTATATTGAATCTGTACTGAAAACACTGGAGTATTTGTTTAGCACCTTTTGTTGGCTCTGCATTTCTCTAAACAATTAGGGAGAAAAAAGCACAATTTTATGAGCAGCAAGATACTTGGGCTCAGCACCAGGCCTCATTAAAATAAATATAATTAGTGGATATAATATACATATATAGGTTATATATATATATATAGGATATAATTGTGGATCATTGCAAAGTGTGCATGTGTAAATGTTAGCTCAGTAGGGTAATTTGCTTTATACAAGAGACCAATTGCTGTATGAGTCACTCCTGCCAAAGGGGACAAAACTCTACTTCGTCCCTCCACCACTTTTTCTAAGAACTTGAGCCTGCTGTTTACCTTGTGATGCCTCTGGAGCTCACTGGATTCTCCTTGCAGCTAATTTAACTCACTAAATATATTAATCACTCATGAAGCTCCTGTTGCCACAGGAGACTTCAGCTGCTCTTAAAATTGAAAGAATGATCATTCACTCTAACAAAACCGAGAATCAACAGAAGTTTTGCTTGAGAGCTCAATGTCTGATATAAAATCAAGAATCTTGATATATCCAGCTCTATGGAGAGGTATTCAGCTCTGTGGAGAGGGATTTGGGAGTTTAGGTTGACCATCATGGCTCAACCAGGAGGCAGCAATGTACCCTTGTGGCCAAAAAAGCCAATGGGTCCTGGGGGACCCGTTGTCAGCAGGTCGAGGGAGGGGATCCTGCCCCTCTACACAGCTCTGGTGGGGCCACACATGGAGTATTGGGTGCAAATCTAGGCTCCGCAGTACAAGAGAGACAGGGAACTTCTAGAGAGCGTCCAGCACAGAGGGGCAAAGATGATTAAGGGACTGAAGCATCTCCTGTACGAGGAAACAATGAGTGACCTCTCTGGGCTAGAAGTTGAAAGACAAGAAGTTTCATCTCCATGTGAGGAAGAACTTCTTTCCTGTGAGGGTGCCAGAGCCCTGGAACAGGCTGCCCAGGGAGGCTGTGGAGTCTCCTTCTCTGGAGATCATCCAAACCCACCTGGATGCCGCCCTGTGCCCCGTGCTCTGGGTGTCCCTGCTGGAGCAGGGGGTTGGACTAGGTGATCTCTGGAGGTCCCTTTTAACCTCAACCATTCTGTGACTGTGGCATTTTCAGTTGCACATTCCCCAAAGGAATTGTCACTGTGGGCTTCTAATTCAGCAATTAATTCCAACAAGCGTTCCTGCACCCACAACAATTTCTCAATCAGGCTGGAGGGTACTGGAAATCCAAACTAATATTTTAATATTAAAACCATTTAGTTTTCCAGGATGTTGTTTGTGCAGCTATCCCACCGAGGGCTATACCAGGCTAAACCAGGAACCTACATGTTCTGTATTGAGAAAGAAGGCTAATGAAGTTAAAGCGTTGACATTCCTTTAATGCCTTCTTGCTTTTGAGTCCTTTGCTTCTTCCTTTTTCTGAGCCACAGTTTTCCTGCACTAGGTGGCCACTTGTAAGTCACTGTTACTTCCCTTCTGTTTCCTTCATACCATGTGAATACTTGCTGCCTGAGAATCCTCCCTCCAAGAAGCTTCTTATTAGTCAAAATCTCTACGTGACAGTAAAAAAATAAGAAAGATCTAGAGCAGAACAGAAATCCATTTCTGTACATGTGCTAACACAACCCCAATGTGGGGCGCCACAAGATATAGCCTTGCCAGCTAGGATCTGCCTTCCTCTGCAGCAAAGAGGAATTGTTATTATTATTATTTAAAAAGAAGTATTTCCAAAGACCTGGAAATTCCAACAGTTTTCCTTTCAAGAAAAAAATATTTCAGTGACATTTTCATTTGAGGAATTGAAAGTTTTGACATAAGGGTGCATGTGTATCTATTTCAATATGGTTTCTTGAAAAAAAAATATTTTTTATAAGTCGTCATCATAAGAAGCTCCCAGCCAGCAATAAATCTTTACAGACTTGGAATACTTTTTGCTCACAACCTCATTTTGGTTTAAATTTAAAAGTATATGTATTTAAAAGTATGTATAAGTTACAAATGTGTGTATAATTTGAAGTAGTGTATAGTTCTGTTTAAAACATATTCTGTTTAAAACATGAAGTGGAAAAGAAATGTCAGAATTTCATTGAAAAGGCAATTCCAATGCCAGTTCAGCTCTACTATGCTATCTGCTTTGCTGAATCAAGCTAGCAGCTGATGAGATCCATTTATTTGTTTACTGTAAGCCTAGAAGTAAAAATAACTTCTGTGAGCTCTTGCTGACTGTCTAGGTGCTGTTTAGTTTTGTAATCACATAAATAAATAATACAAACCCACCACTTAGTAAGCCACACAACATAAATTAACCAGAAAAAGCAAAAATCAGTTAGTATCCCTTTCTCCTGAAGAAATTTTACTTATGCATATCTTACTGTTGTCCAAGTGGTTGGCCTTGATGATTTTTTCTGAGTAATCAGAGATGCTTGAGCATTCGATCTAGAAAATAAATAATGACAGAAAACAAAGAGGAGCAGTTGTTGCTTGTTACAGGCATGAAGTATCTGAACAGAAACAAAATCTATTGAAAACAGCAAAGACTGTGTGGAATATGTAATCACTGATAACAATAAGTCAAATCTTTTTATGCAGTATCATCATATTTAAACAGAAGCCTATATATGAGCTAAAATGGCTCATACAGAAACGGTTGTTCTTAAAGCTTTTTATGTACAGAAAGAAGATTTTATATGTGGGAAGAAGATGTGGAAATTCTGTAGGAGTCAACTACAGGATACACAGTCATCTTAAAATTCTATACAGTGTCAGAAAATTCTATACAGACAAGTTAACTCTAGTGAGATAGAGCCAAATAACAATGTTGCAAGGAAAGAGCATTTGTTCAGAGATTTTAATGGCAAGAACCTTGATTGTGTTTAGTTCAAATTTGTACTATACTGTGTGTTTCTGTTTGGTGTTGGTATTTCATTCAAAAAAATGACAGAAATATATGTATTGAAATCATTGTGTGTGCATATAGAAAACTGTAAAAAAGATCAACAATAATCAGCATGATCCTTTAAAGCACTGGTTTATTTTCTTTTTTAAAAGAGATTAGATATGGCAGATAAATTGTTTTATTTTTGCATATTTACTAATATGAATGTGGGGATTTTTTGTCTTTATCTTCCTTATATTCCTAAACATTTCTATTTCTTCCTTAACAAGATAGTTAAATCTATCAGATCTAAGTTAAATAATATATTTTCACTTTGACTAAGAAAAGAATTACAGTGTCTTCAGGTTCTGGATTTGCCCTTGACTTTGTTTTCAAAGACATTTTTGCATCTCTTAGAGAAATGCTGCTTTGCCTGAATCACTCTGATTTTTTTGCTCTTTCCCATTCATGAGGGCAAAAGTCGTTGATAATTCGCTAATCAATTCCTAATTTGCCTCTTCCAAATATATTGACATTTAGCTGTCAATAGTACTTATATAAATCTTTTCTCAATAATTCCTATGTATTTAATTTATCCTCTAAAAGCCAGAATGTGCTTGCTGGTTTTTCTGCATCTTCTTATGATACAGTTACCACCCATTTTATTCCCAGATTTCCTTACCATTGGCCGAGTCCTCAAAACTTCCTGACCATCCAGTTCAACTACCATCTTCTGTATATTATCATGTCATATGTCAGTTTAATTCCTGTTCCCTTATATTGTCTTATTTGTCTGAAAGTAGCATAGATTTCAGGTAGTTGCATTGCAGGACTGCCCTGAATTTTGTAGAACTAAATGCAGTAGATGAGCTGAGGTTTTAAAGGATAGGTTTTCAAGGTTAGGGTAGATTTTCATGGTATATGATTTCACGGTCTTCAAGGGATTCAAAAGGTTTCACACTGACAGTGCTCTGTCACTGGAACAGCTTGAGAAAGGATCTGGAGTCTCCAGCCCTGGAGGTTTTCAAAAGTGAACTGGACAAGTTGTTGTAGCTTTACAGTAATCCAGTTTTGAACACTTTGGATTATAGACGTTCAGATCTCTCCTAGCCTATTCCATAATTTTCATTTCTTGAAGACCTGGAGATGATTCTAGCAATTTCCTGAGTAGTGGAAAGAAATTATTTCTAAAAGTGAGTGGGAAGTGGTGAGGAGAGAACCAGACAGAGTAATGGATGGAATTCGACTCTGAAGAATAAGGAAGAATTATTTCAGTGCCAATATGTATCAGGGAAGCGACACTGTGCACTTGTCAACATTCCCATATCATGCTATTGAAATACCACATCTAAGTGTAAAGAAACGTGGACATATAAGTGTAATCACTGTGCGATTACACTAATCATCATACAATAACTCTTGTAAAATGTTTTCTTTTTAATAGAAATACAGAGCTCTGTTGAAACTCTTTCTCATAGCTGTGGGATCATAGAGTTCAATTTGAATTTGACTGTAAAGCTGCCACTGTCAGCTCTCCGAGATGTCTGCTGTTCCAGTGCAAAATACAATTCGGTGTATTCTGTGTGATGGGATTGTACATGCGATAGCTCATGTGACAAGAAGATTGAAACTCTTAGGGGTAGCAGAGGATTTTCTCACCTAGTCATGTTCCTTTGAGTGCAAAGTGTTCCTAGATGGCACATTCTGCAGCTTTAGTGTCTAGACTGAATGGTCCATGGATAAGCTGAACCTGAGATGGCATTGAAATTTATGAATGCCTGAGGGAGAATCCTAAGTTAAAGAAGTCCAAAAGAATAATAAAATAAAATAATATGTCCCTCCCATCACAGTGCTCCAAATCAAAAGTATGTGGAAAAATATTCATTTTTATTTTTCTGGATTAATTTTATGCTAGTTTAGCATGTGGAGCTGGTTCTGAGCAGAGTCAGATGAGCACCAGAGCCAGCACATTGAAGGCATGATGTACATGTGCAGCCAGAGATTGGGAAGAAGGGAAGGTGGTAGCACTGCAGCACCATTAGGTTGTGTGGTTAACTTTGTTACAGAACATCTACAACACTTTGCATGAACAAAGCCTGCATTAGGGAAGACTCCAGGCTAATTCTCCATAAGATTTTGATATAATAAATAATGTATCATCAGAAATACACAGTTGAGATATTCAGTGACATTTGTGTCTTCAAATGCATGGCTTTAGCCAGGTTTCAGTAAACAATGACATTATTGCTTCTTGTCTACACGGAGAGGAATCATGTACAGTTCCTTTTTATGAGCTCTGTTGGCTCCGCAGGGCAAACAGAAGTCAAAAGCAATAGGAAATTGCGTTTGTTATTTTACACACAGTACAAATAGCTCTGAATACACTGAAGGGGAAATCTTTAAAATAAGATGCTATGCCTTTATAATAAGAAGTTGTACTCTGGGGAGAACAGTGCTTTGATTCCTACAGCTTAATGGATTTAAGGTAACAATTCCCTCCCCTCGCTGAAATGCATTGTTCTGTTCAGGTTCTCTGAGTTGTAATGGACAGAAATTTGAGTTAAGGAAATTTGTTTCCAAGACCTCAAAATTTCAGATCTTAAAAAGAACTAAAAACTGGCAAGATGGTTCCTTTGACCTCCCTGAACAGGAACGAGTCCTTTCTACATTTTTTTTTAGTCAAAATAAAACACAAAGGTACCCTGAGATCAACAAAGATTATACACAAAAAAATTTTAATCTAGAAAAGACACTACAGGTAGTAGAAAACAACATAACTCCAGTGGTATCACTGTGATGTGAACCATATAAGGGGTAGGGTTGGCTCTATATTTCAAATAGGCTCTATATTTCAAATAGGAAGAATTTCAAATGAAGGCTAGGCTCTATATTTCAAATAGGAAGAATTTCAAATGAAGACAAGGCAATTAGGAGGAATCACCAAGCCAAAACCCATTTTCCTTCTTAGTCAAAGCATAACAAAGAAAAATAAAATATGAGAGAAAGTCTTCTTACCCCATATACCTTCTTGGCTCCAGCCTTTGCAGCAAACATGGAGAGGATTCCTGTGCCACTACCAACATCAAGTACAATTTTATCTTTAAAAACATGTTTATTGTGATACATGGAGTTTCTATATGTTAATGTGCGCACTTCATCCTTTAACATTTCCTATGGTGGAAAAAAAAACCAAAATAAAACAGTGTGCATGTTCTCAATACTTGCATACAGTTGCAATAGATGCATTCAGTACTGCTGCTGACGTATTTCCCTATTAAAATGATACATTCAAGCATTATTAAGATCCCACCAGTTATTCCAAGTATTTTGGGGTGCATGCATCAAATAGCTGTAAAATGAAAGCTACTTAGAGAAAGAATATTAAGAAAGAGCATGACTTCCTTCATAAAATTTTCTCTAAGTGTCAGTTCACTGTTACAAGGGATAACAGCAGCAGCTGCAGCAAGAAAAAGGAACCTGGCAGCACTGCTTTGAACACAGTCAAAAATCTCCTAAATCATGCAAAATCCAGCATGAAAATCTAGCAAACTCTCAGCAGATTTCTGAGATTCCTCTCAGACCACTCCCTATGGAATTATAAAAAGATGTACTTGAAATCTTTGATGTAAGGAACACAGGAATTCCACAACTGAGTTTGGAAATAGCATGCTTTATCCAGAGTCCACTCTGCTCTCCTATTCATTTGTTCTGATTACCAAAGAACAAGGATTATAATGAGTTACCTAGATCACTGCCCCATTATTTTAAGCTGTCATTGTTACCGATTTTTACTTCACTGACAGCGGCATATACCCATTTCTTTCCATTGGCACCATGAATTGCAGTAATCAGTAAAATAGAAAGAGGTGAGGTCAAGATCTGGGTCCCATCTTTAAGAGAAAAATAGGAATATTCAATACACACTTTAATGATTTTTTTCAGTATTCATTTGTTTTACCTCTAGAGAGCTGAACCTTGGCTTATACTACTGACACCATTTCATAGTTTTAAACAGCTAGACAAATGACTCTTTGAAGTTCAAAACAAAAGGAATCAGTCCACTGCCCAGCAGATGGAAGCACTGGTGCACCAAATTGTTACATGTATCATCTGCTCATTTATTTGTTTTGACAGGAGACTATACTCATAACTGTAGATGAATAAAGGACTATTTTGTTATTATGAAACATAGCTTAGTATCAGGCAAAGAAAGGGGCAGAGAAATAATGCTAGGCTATACATTTTCCTAAGTATGGGACTAAAACTTGGAATTTCCTAAACATTCCATGGGAATGTTTTCTTTTTCAATTTACATTTCTAATGGTTCCATAGGATTGTTACTTATATTATGGCATCACTCACTATTGCCAGATGGCACATTAATAGAACTTACGTTTACAAAGCCATAATATTCCCTGAATACATAATCTATTACTGAATCAGAGAACTGCTGAGGTTATAAGGGACCTTTGCCCCCACTCAAAGCAGGTTAAGCTGGTGCAAATTGCTCAGAACTTTAGGCAGTCAGGTTATGAATTTCCAAGAATGGAGACTCTACAATCTGTGTTTGAAAAATATCATAGTGAAAAGGGATGGATATAAATATATATATAAAAAATACATATATATGTGTGTGTATATATATATACACACTATATATATATGCTATACACACACACACACACACATATATATATTTGGTTGAATTTCTGGTCTTTCAGTTTGTATCGTTTGCTTCTTGTTCTTTCACTGGGCAACACTTAAAAGAGTCTGATTCCATCCTTTTTATTTCCTTACTCATCAGGAATTCATATACATCAGTAAGATTCTCCCTGAGCTGTCTCTTCTTAGGCTAAACAACTCCAGCCCTCTCAAATCACCTATGAGATATGTTCCAGTATCTTAATCACCGTCTTGGGGCTTCACTGGGTGTGATTCAATGCCTCTTGTGCTGGGAGTCCAGAACTGAATAAAGCCCTCCAGGAGTGCTCCTTTCAGTGCTGAATCACTGCCCTCAACCACCTGCTGGCAATACCCTTCCTAATGCAGCTCTTTTTTCTTGTCTTTTTTCTTTCCTGGAAGGGTGTATTCGTGCTCAAATTTTTACAATTCCTATTATTTTTCATTAAAATGCAAAACTGATATGCAGACCATAGGTCTCCAGAATGTATTCATGAATAAGGTCATACCTCCTTTTATTTTTAGCCCAATATGATATTCTTATCAGACCATTTCTGCAGTCTGTTGAGGTCCCCCTGAATGGCAGCATAACCATCATTCACTCCTCCCAGTTTTGTATCATCTACAAACTTCCTGACAAGGCACTCTGTCCCATTATGCAGGTCATTAACAAAGAAGTTAAACAGTATTGCCCCTGCTATTGATCCCTTGGAGACACCTCAAATAACTGGCCTCCAGCTGGACTTTGTGCTGTTAGTCAAAATCCTGTGAGCCCAGTAGTTCAGCCACTTTTCAGTCCACTTCATTGTCCATTTACCTAGTCTGTATTTTACCAGGATGTTACAGCAGACAGAGCTGACAGTCTTTCCAAAGTCAAGATAGCATCCACTGCTCTCCCCACATCCACGGAGTCAGTCTTTTCACCATGGAAAGCTGTCATGTTTGCTAGGTATGACCAAATCCATGCTGATTAACACATATTGTCCTTAATATGTCTAGAAACGGTTTTCAAGGGTATTTGCTCCATCACCTTCCCGGGGTTTCAAGTGACATACTAAATACAAGAACGATAACAGCTGCCTTTCAGTCCTCAAAAATCTCCCCCTGTCACCATGACTTTTCAAATATAATCAAAACTTGAGTGTTGAGGCTGCATCAGCTAGTTCCTTCAGCACTCATAGATCTACCCCATCAGGTCCCATGGGGTTGTGATTTTCCAATCTGTTTAAATGTTTCATATCTTGATCCTTCTCTACTGAGGATAGGTCTTTCTCGATCTAGACTTTGCCACTGCTCTTAAGTACCTGGGATGCCTGGAGGAAAGTTTTATCAGTAAAGACTTGAGCGAAGAAGTAAATTTCCATGTCCTTTGCCACCAGATCTCCTGTCCCGTTCATCAGTGTGCCCTAATTTTCGCTAGTCTTTATGCTGCTAATGCACCTATAAACATCCTTCACAGCCCCTCCCAGATTCATCTCTAGGAGTGTTTAACTTTTCTAAATCCATCCCTGCATATGTTGACAATATCTTCAAAACACTCCTGAGTTACCTCTTGGATGTACTTTTGTTTTGTTTTGTTTTGTTTGTTTAACTGTTATCAAGAGCACCTTGTTCATCCATGCACTGCTCCTGCCATTTCTGATTGACTTTCTGCATGTCAGGATAGATGGTTCTTCAACTTACAGGAGGTGATCCTTGAAAATCAACCATCTCTGTTAGACCCCTCTTCTCTCTAGTACCATCTCCTATGTGAACTTTCCAAGCAGATCACTTAACAGTCCTGAGTCTGCATACCTAAAGTCCAGTGTTGTATCCTGTTTTTTGCCTTGTTCCTTCTTGACAATATCCTGATCTCCAGGATCTCATGGTTGCTGCAACAAAAGGTGTCCCTGACTTCCGCATACCTAACTGGTTCTTCCTTGATTGTAAATACTGAGTCTAGCAGAGAACCTCTCCAAGTTGGTTCCTCGCTCCTTTGTGTCAGGAGTTGTCATCAATGCACTCCAGAAACTCCTGAATTGCTAATGGCTAGATATGTTTCTCTTCTAGCAGATATTCTTTCGCCCTGTTGGTCACATGGATCACACCTCTTCCTAGTAGTCATCAGTCCTTGTCTTTGACATCAGCTGCACAACATGTTATTGACCCACAGGAACTTTCCTCTTCTCGAGGCCTTCTCTTGCCCTGTTAGGATTGAGATAAAATCACACTTGGAACCTCTAGCTCTTCACATTTGCCTCTTTGTTTCATGCTTGATATGCTTCAGGTTTCCCCCTTGGCAGTACTGTTCATGCCTATGTGGAAAAGCAGCAGGGCATAATAGACCGAGGGCTCAACCAGTGTCAGCAGTCTATCCACAATGTCCTAGATCAAAGTGCCTTGCAAGCAACAATCCTCCCTAGACAGCAGGATAGGTCAACATATGGGGGCCTCTGTGCCCCACAGGAGGTAGTATATATATTATTCACATATATACAGATATATATACACATATTATATATATCTTACATGTGTTATATTTTATATTTTATATATTATTCACATATATATATGGATTTATGTTAATACCTATATAATATATAATATGGATTTAAGTGAAACAGAGTATTGAGTATGGGTATTCTAGAGAAGTGGGTGATAGTTTTAGCACTTAACTAGACCAACACACTGAGGACAAAGAGAATATAGCTGTTAGGTGGTAGGAAGAGGTTAAATAAGTAATAAATCAGAGAACACTTTTATTTTTCCTGTAGTGACTAATGAGAAAAAAATAAGTAAATAAACGAGTACTACCTCATGAATTCCAAAGTGAGCATAGGAGTCAAAATAATAATCCCTGGATGTCATCTCTTCTGGATTGAGGAGTTTTGCCATCTTGCCTCGGCCTGGGCAGCTTGGTTGCAATGGGACATGTATAACAGATTGCACTGGCTTTGGAACAACAATAGGCGGAGGAGGCTGGGATGGGACAGGACAAGCCTAGGAAAACATGAAATATCGTTAAAAGGCATCGTTAAAACATAACATTTCTGTCAATACCTAACCATTGGCTCTGTAATTATTATTTTAATTAGCTATGAGATGGTAACTTAGAGGACACATCAGTTATCATAAGTGGAATTCAGTGAAATGACTGTCTTCTCTTCCTGGATCTTTAACATATTTACCTTGTTTTGGAAAATTTCCTTAGTGGCTTTTTGCTTGGTGCCCTCCTGCAGCTATTTATGGCAGCACAAAGTAATTGCAAAATATTGGTATTTGCTGATTCTAACCATGCACAAAGCAGTTAAAAGCTGAGCTTTCTTCTTGTAGGGGCATTTCCTGTCAAATTGTCACAAATTTATGGGAGACAACTTTTAACAGTTTCCCCAAAAGAAGAGCTGATAATCAAAGGATTTTAAATATTGCTGACATGAAGGAGGATTCTCAGTATGTTCAGAAAAACCCCTCACACTATTTGTAGACCCTCAGAAAATGCTCAGAAAGCACAGAAAATGCTGTGAGGAGCTGCATGGGATATGTTATCCTTTCTTTAGTTTTTTATTGTGGAAATGTAGGATTCTGGTATTACCAATACCTTCCTGCCCCACCACACTTCTTTTTTTTCCTTGGTTTTATGCCTCTAGCAGCAAAATTTCAATAGGACAATAGAAACATACAACATCTGCCTGACTTGGATTTGATACCTATTGTTTATAAGGCAGAAGACAGAATTCTGCACAAAAAAAAAAAAAAAAAAAAAAAAAAAAANAAAAAAAAAAAAAAAAAAAAAATAGCAGGGAGGAGACGTAAAACATAGAAGGGCCCATAGTGTATCCCCATCTTTCCTTCTGAATATGAAGTGCTGAAAGCTGAGAAAGGCTGAATGAAACACCACAACTTCACATGGTCACCAGCAAACTGTAGGTCAACAAATTCTTGAACTGAGAAAATGGACTCTGCTTAAACTGTGTCATACCTTTTCTATTACTCTCTGGCTCCAAATTCAGTGTTTTCCCAGTAGGGACTTGATTTGCCTCAGCTTCTCCCAGATAGTTTTACAAAGTTTACATTATTTTCTCTAGATACTGTAAGAAATCAATTCCTTGTACACTTTCTGAATAGCATCAATTAGCCTAGTTACTTTGATATAAAAAAAAAATCACTTTAACTTTTTCTTCCCTTGCTCATTTGAGATTTAAATGTGTCATCTTTCAGTTATTTCCTTGGTCTATGAATACTAGAGATTTACATTCATGTAACATGTTTCATCCCAAAAAATCAATAGAAGTGCTTTCATTTGCAATAGATCTTTCCTATTTCTTGATTTTTTGACCTGTCATATCACCCAGTTCACCTCACAGCCAGAATACCTATTCTCAATTAGTATTTTTGTTATGTCTTGTTTTGAAGTCATTTCCTTTAGATTAAATCATTTTCAGATACTGCTCATTCTCTAAGGGTGTTGCTTGTGACGCTCAGTTCTTCTATTCCTAATTTCATCTTGATACTTTAATTATATACTTGAGGTTTTATACCCTAACTAACTAATATCTTTTCCCACTTGGTGTATACACTATCATTCTTTTTCCAGTTATATTGCCCTCCAATACGTTTTTTTATCTTTTACTTATTTAAACTGTGGATGTTCAAAACTGTGTTGCTACGTAATGCAAACTCTTCGAAGACTTATGCTTTTCTCCTGAAGCATGTTCTTCATCTTCCAGATCATTTAATACAGGCAAAAAAATATAAATATAACATTCATTGAATTTTCCATTCTGTTCTTCTCTTAGCTAATAAGTTTTCCAGACAGAATATAATAAAACACAGGCAATTGCAAAAGAGCTATCTACATTACTGGAGAAACAATCTGTCAGTTTTTGTAAATTATGCCAAGGGAGTATTAGTGTCTCTATTGCTGTCAAACTGCAAACTCAGATGATTTTTTTTCTACAATACAAAGCATTTTTCACAGGAAAATGAGCTCAAATTGAAGGTGACTACTCTTACTGAGTCTCGGAGAATATCTGTCCTGTTCCCAGCTGACTAGAGCTTGCCTACATAGGGTGATGAGAAATGGATTTATTCTGACTGAAGATACAAAATTAAACTTAATTCACCTATTGAGCCTAAGTAAGTAAGAAAAGATATTTTTTTCCTATTGTAAAGAAGCTAACATTGTTATCTCATGGTCTACAATACAGCCACGGTTTTCCTTTAAAGGTTGCAGCAAGTTTTTGGGTGATTCTGCTACAGTAGAGGAGTGGCAAGATAACTTTTATTATGCCACTGAGATATTATTAGAGCTTCAACTCAAGTTTATCTGCAGTGCCTGGATAATTAATACTCTCAACAGTCCATCTACTTCTCTACCAGAGGATAGATATTCCACGTAGTGCAAAAAAGCAAACAGTTATCAGGTCTGCTTCTCACTTGATTGTTGCCACCCAGAATCGTCTAGTAAAATGTGTTTATGGTGGTTGTGTGAAACGGAACACCTCTGATTCATGTATTGTCCATCTGCCTTGTGCTTATTCAGAGGAGGGCATAAAACTGAGAAACTCAGAAAACTGGGTGGGAAGACCTTCTCAGCCAGCAGCACACGTCCTGGAAACTTTAAATCAAATTCTTCAGTGGAGTTCTGCTCTAGGCATTAGGGCATGCATTTCAAAATCAAGTGATGTAATTTTGCACACTTGCAATTGACACTAATCATTTTCACTTTAATTCTGAGAATGTAGGACAAACTAACCATCACAGAAATAGCATTGCAAGTGGAGCTCAGGAAATCAGTGGATTCTTCCAAAGTTTGCTGTAGATGCTGTGAGCAATTTTGGTTGGGAGCAACTCATGTTCTGTGACAAGAATCATTGAAAAAAACATAAAAGTAATGGACTATTGCAAAGTAGAGAAATATGATGCAAGTTGTTGTATTAGAAACAATAAAGTCTTTAGGTCTACATCTCTGTGCTTGCTAGATAGAAATGATTAAACTTTTAAGAACATGGCTTGAAGAGAAAATATGCCTCCAGAGAAAAGCCATTAAGAAAAGACAGTTTCCATAATCTCTTCATCAGAAAAGTATCCCTGATATGATTTACTACTTTAGTACACATATATGTCCTGTCAAAAATGATTAATTTAATAACTCCCCAAAAGAGAAGGGACCTGGACTGGCAGTAAACCTCTTGTCAAACCATCTAAATTAACCAGTTATCAAATCAGGATTCCAGTAGGCTGCACACAGCTGCAGAGCACTGACCACTGCTGATGCTGAAGTCTGAAAGAATGCAAGCAGCTGCCACAGAAACTATTCATCAGTGTGCTAAATAAGCATCACTCCAGTTTTCCATCCCCCCCTTTTCTACTGCAAACAGTGTAGGAGGATATGAATGATCTGGAAATAGCCTTTTCCACTGCTATTATGGGATTTAGAAGCTGGTGTTGTGTGTCATTTCAACACCTAAGTTAGATGGAAATTAGGCTATCTACATAAACGGTTCTGATAAATACAAAAGAGAACTGGGTATTCAAGAACTGCAGGCTATTTTGAAAAGGTGAGGTTTTAAGGGTATCCATCCACCCACAGACAAGCAAGATGAGATTGGCACCTTTTTTGAAAGATTTGTGACAAAAACTGAAGCATGCAGAGTAAAAAATAAACTTAAATTTCAATATCAGTTCCTTGATATTGCAGTGGAGACACAGGACTGGAGATTAAAATTAAGTACAGGCAAAGCTGTTGTTCGAGCTGCAGTGTTGTCCTTGTCAAGTTATTTATGCTTTTATGGGCATTGAGGGAGTTAAAAATAACTTCTGCCTGGAAAATCCTACCCTTTCATTAAGAAACTCTGATTGCAGATGGTGTTATGGTTTAACTAGAATTATTTTCAGCATTCACTTAAAAAAAAACTTTATTGCATCTGAATGTTAAAAGCAATTATTTCTTGGATCAAATATTTCATGTCAAACTACTAGAATTGAATATGCTAGTACTATTTTCTTCAGTTTAAACTTAATAATATGCATCTTTAGCATTTAAAAGATTATCATCTGATATGCAATTGACATAGCAGCTCCAACAGTGCAGTCTACTTCTGCTGCAGGAGTAAGAGCATAGCCAAATAGGGAAGGCATTTTGTACCCTTTTGCCAAATGTGAGTCTAATATTTATAACAGCTTCTGGAAGTCACTACCCAGGTGCGCATGTTAAAATATCCTTAGTTCTGTTGGCTGACAGACTTTTGGAATAAGACTTGCGGTAGTTTCATGAATGTGTATCTTCACAGAATCACAGAATGGTTAAGGTTAAAACAGACATCTAGAGATCATACAGTCCAACCCCCTGCTCCAGTAGGGACACCCAGAGCACAGGGCACAGGGCGGCATCCAGGCGGGTTTGGAAGACCTCCAGAGAAGGAGACTCCACAGCCTCCCTGGGCAGCCTGTGCCAGGGCTCTGTCACCCTCACAGGAAAGAAGCTCTTCCTCACATGGAGACGGAACTGCCTGTGTTTCCACTTGCACCCATTACCCCTGTCCTATCACTGGCCACCACCAGACCCCTTCCTCTCTAGATTCTCCCCTAAGATACTTATACGTATTGATCAGATCTGCTTTCAGTCTTCTCTAAGCTAAACAGGCCCTGCTTGCTTAGTCCTTCCTCATACGACAGATGTTTGAGTCCCTTAATCATCTTTGTTGCTCTCTGCTGGGCCCTCTCTGGAAGTCCTACATCTTCCACATCTTGTCCTGGGGAGCCCAGAACTGCCCCCAATACTCCAGGTGCGGCCTCACCAGAGCTGAGCAGAGAGGTGGGATCCCCTCCATCCACCTGCTGCCAACATCCTCCTGATGCAGCCAGGATCCCATTGGCCTCCTTGGCCAGGAGGACACCCTGCTGACTCATGGGTAACTTGGTGTCAATCAGAACTCCCAGGTCCCTCTCTGCAGAGCTGCTCTCCAGCAGATCAGTCCCTAATCTGTGCTGGTGTCTGA